ATGATAATGAAACTGCTCTAGATTTTTGGCGCCTCATTTACCAAAGGTAAATTTGTAGAATTAGTTTTAATTTTATTGGTGTATTTTTTACTTGACTATATTAAGATCATGAAAAATATTATTTAATGTGAACTTAAATGTAAACCTCTCTATTAATGGATTTTATGTTACAGAATTTTAAAAGTATTATTTTCATGCGTAAAGGATGAAATGTAAAGCCTTTTTTTTTACTTAGCAAAAGGGGCAGTTGACCAAGGAAGACACATTTGAGACAAAAAGTTTTTGTTTTCAGTTTACAAACTTCTTTTGTCTCGATTTTATGTATAAACATTTTTTAACATCAATGGCATTAAACTTATAAATAAAATTGTTTTTGTTTTTTTTTTAGCTCTATCAAAACAATAGTAATGATTACAAATGTAGTGGAGGATGATATTGTCAAGTGTACCCAGTATTGGCCTGACAAAACAAAAGCTAGTTATGGACACTTCCTTCTGCATATGACTGAGGTGCTGGAGTATGCTGACTACACCATCCGCACAATTGAACTACACTGTAAGGGAGATAAAGATATTAAGATGGTCAAGCTTTTTGAGTACACCTCCTGGCCTGAACATGGAGTGCCTTATGACCCTATCCCCTTCTTGGATATGCGGTACAAGATCCGGCAGAACCATGCTGAAGACCCCTCCCCCATCTTAGTCCACTGTGGGACAGGCATGGGCAGGACTGGTGTTTTCATAGCTGTGGACGCCCTTGTAGACCAGTATGCTTTAGAGGGTAAAGTGGAAGTGTACAGCTACATCAAGAAAATGCGCAAACACAGACCTTACATGGTGCGCACACTAAGGCAGTATGTCTTCATTTATGAGGCTCTGTTTGAAAAGTTTCATGCTGGAAGCACATTGGCTAGCTTTGACCTGAAGTACAGGTACCACAACTGGATGCAGATCAACCCCAAGACAGAGCACTCCTACTTGAGAGATCAGTTTGAACTGTTGGAGAAATTTACAAGGGGGCCAAGACGAGAAGATTGTAAGGCTGCTTTTTTACCAGCAAATATCAAGAAAAACAGGTAAAAAAATATTTATATATAAGTATATTTATATTATTGCTCTAGTATTGTCATAGTATCATACTCTAGCATGCTTAGTGCATTCTGGTCATCTCTTTTGTAGACATGGAAGTCGGGGTATCTGGGAAAGATTCCCATGCTGCCTTTGGGCATTCAGGAAACACAACTCAGCTTGAGGGCTGTTTTTGGCATATGTTTATCCCACATACGGGATATGTCCCCTGCCCAGCATAATTGTGGGACCATAAGGATCAGCATAATAATTACATTTTAAAGCTAGACACTTTTTTTTACAATTATTATGGAAATATTTTTTAGATGAAATATCTTATTCCTCTTTAAAACATCAACAACATAGAGATATTTAGTAAGCTTTTTGCAATACAACACATTTCATATATGCCTTTTAAAGAATTAATTCTACAACTATTTCCTGTACTTTCCAGATACCTGGATGTTATTCCTTCAGAAATGCACAGACCATTGCTACAATCTTATGGTGGAGTGAATCCTACAGATTACATCAATGCTTTGTTTGTTGATGGCTATATGAAGAGAAATCAGTTTATAGTCACACAAACACCGCTTCAAGGCACCATCATAGACTTTTGGAAGCTTGTTTATGACTACAATGTTCATACTATCGTCATGGTAGAGAACTCCAGGAATGAGGATGACACTTGTGCAGAGTATTGGCCCTCTCTGAACCTTAAGCATTTTGAGCCCCTCTTTGTGGAGACCACTGCTGTTTACCAACAAGAGAACATCACAATAAGAAATTTTAAGATTCGCAGCACTCAGCACCCCAAGGTACCAGCCAGGTTTGTTAGACAGTTCCAATTCAATGCCTGGGTGCAGCCTAATCTAACTCCGCAGTCCAAGACCATGATGATGGACTTTATCGACAGTGTCTTCCGTTGGCAGGATGAAGCATGCCAGAATGAGACTCCCGTGGTGGTTCATTGCCAGGATGGAGCTACCCACTCTGGCTTATTTGTCATTCTTGCCATCCTCTGTGATAAAATGGAGCTAAACAAGGAAGTGGATGTCTATCACACAATCAAACATTGTAAGAGACGGCGCACCCAGTTCATAGCTGATTATGTAAGTATTGTTTTCACCCAGTTTATAGTACATTCTGTAAGCATTGTTTTGAGTCAGTTTATACCTGATTATGTAAGTATTGTCTTTACTCAATGTATAGTACATTCTGTAAGCATTGTTGTGAGTCAGTTTATACCTGACTATGTAAGTATTGTCTTTAATCAATGTATAGTACATTCTGTAAGCATTTTTTTAGTTTATACCTATGTAAGTATTGGTTTCTCTTAGTTTATACCTGATAATGTAAGTATTGTTTTATGTCACAATTGTTTTATAATATTTTAATGAGCATTAAAATTATTAAAAAATAATTTAAAATAGCCAAGAACTTTTACAAATTTACTTTTTTGTTTCTTAACTCTTTTCTCTCTGTCATTTTCTTTCAGATGGAATTCTTCATTTTGCTCATTTGTATTTCACTATCCTGTTATGATTAAACTTCAATAACTTTTTGTTTGTTATCAGAGAATGTTATGTCCAATTGTAGGGGAATGCATGCTTTTTTTTTACACAACACAAATTAAAGTTTATAAATCCAAAAATCTTTAGTTTAATGGGGTCAAATCGACGTTAGCATTATCAATGGGGAGAGAAAGAGTTAAATGTAGTTATTTATAAGATAAGACTAATAAGATTTTTAAAACATCTATTGCAGCTTTTTAAAGCGCTTGCTAAGTCAAAGTGTCAACAAATGTGTATAGCACCTCTCTCCAGATATCACATATTTGGCTTGTTCCTTTTAGTTAATTAAATTGTGTCAATCATTGTTTTTATTGCTTGCAGGACCAGTTCCGTTTCTGCTACAAGACAGTCTGGGACTTCATGAACTTGAGAATGTCAGATGGTGCCTACACTAATACCTTGGGGGAGTCCAAGAGTAACCCAGCTTACACAGGAGCTTCTCTCAATTTAAGTTCTACAGTTTTTGATGACACATTCTCAACTTTTTAGAGGATAATCCAAGACTTTTAGCTTATCTGTGATATCTCTCTTACTTAGCCTATAGATAACTTGAAAACAGTGCTGAGCTTTCTCATTAATCAAGTTATAACATATTATGACATAAAAATTTGATTAATGAGCCAAGAAGAGGCCAGTGTGTTGTAGTAAGCTTAGATTAACATGTTTCTTCTAATAAATGAGAACTATGTTTAAAGTTTATTGTAAATATTTATTTCTGATTATTAAATTTCTTTTTACACTTTGCCTTTACAATGAATTTACAGTGTATTGATATTTGTTTAATACTTGTGTACATACAATATTTAAGATATGTATATTTTTCTTCCTATTTACAACATTATCTATTTAAACAAAATAGTGAATAACATTTTCTATCATCATTTACTGTTTGCAATGTTATACATAATAACTATTCCATCCTTTATTTCTTACAAAAGATTTTTTTTTTACTTTGGTGCTAAACATTTTAAAGGACTGGTCAAAAAAATATTTTTCAATTTATTACTAGTGTGCTATAGACAAATTGCGTGCTTTTGATTTTTTTAACAGTCACTTAGTGTAGCTAGTATTCTTTTACATTTTTTTGTATATTGTTAAACAGGTTTGAAATTAGTCTCAGAGAAAATAATACTTTTGTGGTTGCAAACTGATCTTGGGCTTTCCTACTTCTGTCCAATGACAGTTGGTGTTAAGTATTGAAACTTTTTTATAGCCCTAGTTGACTGATTGACTCATCACTAATTCTCCCACTTGGACTGGACAAAAAAAAAATGCTGAAACTTTAATTTATTAGCCTACTACTTACTGTGTACCTAGAAAAACTTTTGTATGTTTCTGTTGCTGCATTCATTAACTTTGTTTTCATTTATTCATTATAGGTACGTTTTATATTTTTGGTGACTCCACATATACAAATTTCATTTAGCTTCAATATTGGGAGATAAGGGGCAAAAAGGCCCTGCTGCACCCACAGGGCCGGTCCTACAGGTTGCAGTGCCCTATGCGAAATGGATTGCTTGGGCCTAATTTGGGTTGTGATAAGGATAATACGTGAAAATTAAGATTTTGTATTAGAAAAGAAATTCTTCTTTGCATTTTATTTATATTTTACTAAGTACAAAATCACTGTCAAATTAACTTTACGAGCCATCTACACTAGATAGTAGTTTTCCAACAAGAAGCCGATAAACATTCAGATCTGTCTTTTAGATTTACTATCGACTAGCAAAATATCGCTTTTTTTTTCTAAGCAGTCGAGATAGATTTAGATCTATATTTATATGGCCAGTGACTATTGAAGTAAATTAAAACATTTGAACTTCAGTTTTAGTGAAAATTTGGCTTATTATTACTTTTTTTATTGAACGAAAGCTGACAATGCCGTTTTTTTTTATCGCGAATAGAATTGGCGTTTTCCATATTGAATGACAATTCGAAATGACAACTTTGTTTTAAGATTTGTATGAGTTTTCAGAAGATTTTAATAATTTCAGGAGATTTTAATGACTTTTCTTATATTTTATAATTCTGGGAGAATTCCAGGAACCCTTTAATGATAAGTTAAAATGGTTTAATTTAATAATTTACACCTAGAATTCACATCGCGTGGGGCCTATGAAAGTGCGGGGCCCACTGCGGCCGCATAGGTTGCAGTGGCCTAAGAGCGGTCCTGTGCACCCAGGTCCCTTTGTGTCAGTATTCCACTGATCTTGTTGATGTTATAAACTGGGTAATGTTTTCTACAAATCTTTCTTCTACTATTTCTTTCCTGATCATGTGAGAGACTCTTATGCCCCTCAATCATCTCAGAAACAATCTACCTTGTTCACTCACAGTATAGAGAATGATTTGCAAGCCAAACTATGTTTTTTAGTTTTACATTCTCTATCTCCTCCTGTGATCATGAACCCAACATTTACTGTTCCAGATTATTTTAATTTTGGTCACTGGAAAAGCATCCATCATTTTTTTTTTTTGTAATTTAAGTTTCAGTTGTATTTTTTCAACCAATATTGTGCATTGTCCAGCATATCACAGTCTTATGAGAAGAAAAAGAGCATGTATTTCTCAAGTAAAGATTTACTATGGCCCTCAATGCATCAAAACTTAGAAGCTAGTTCCAAACCTTTTTTAAAAAACCAACTGGGTTTTACATATTTTTTTATGAATATCTAATTAGGGTATAATCAAATAGAAAGGGAGTTCATTTTTGGTTTATCATCTCCACTGACTAAGCTATTGATCTTTTTTTTTTTTTTAAAACCTTTTTGTATTTTCCTTGTATGAAGTATATATATATGTATATGTTCCCTCCATCCTTTTAGATTGCCTTCTGATCTATAGGGCATATCATGTTATGGTCATATGTTTCAGTGGCCCACAATTAACAAGGTTATGATGTGACCAGCACACAACCATCCACCTTTAAATTTTCCAACTAATGTCAGGTACCAATTAGAGATGGGTGGACTCAGAGGTGCCCTAAAGATCCTGAAAATAAAAATCCCAGTCTTTCTTCAGAGTCCAAGCACTTTACCATTCAACCACAGCACCTCCCATCTATCTATATATATACATATATATATATTGATGAGATCACGACTGCTATTTCTATATTATGTTTCTATGGGATGACTTTAAAAAGTACAGGGAGGACCAGATAGTGGGAAGATGTTACATTCATAGAAAGAAAGTTGGCAGGTACGTAGGCCTACTCTTATTTAATAATACTGTAGAATATCGTAGTTGAAAATTTCACAAATATTAGGATTTTCTTTAAACATTACCTATGAAGACATTTAAATAAGGAGCATAGCCACTTGTTAAGACTAGAAATTAAGTCAAAATTTTAGATTTTAATTGTATCACTAATTTTACTAGAAATAATGTTATGAAAACAAGAATACTTTCTGTCATGAACATCTTTGTAAGGGCAGTCATCTCACATTTTATGTGCATTCAAACTATGAATTATTTTGTAGAGGCAACTTTATTTAGTTCTGTTATGCATTAGTTAATCGTGTTATTTATTCCCCTTGTAATCAAACATACAGATATTATCTCTAAATAAATCTTTTTTAAAGTTTCAATTTTCTGCTAATTTTTCTATGTCCATACATGACACCTGATGACTTTTTCTGTCTTAGTTCATGCACTGAAGATCCGGTCATAAATAGTACATGCACACCAGTCCACTTTTACACAGTAAATAACAGATTTTGGGTTTGGATGTCACTACAAAGTTTTGGACTAAAGACATAGAATTTTCTCAAAGATGAGTCTGGAAAGTTATATCAGTTTATATTTTAACATAAATGTAGTCAATAATACACTAAAACTAATAGTAAATTATTTTATTTGTAAAACAATATTAGAAATAACACCATATCACATAGATTGCACACAAGAAAGACTAAGCATAGAGGTGGGAATTGGGCCGAATTTATATCAGGGATTTCTGATTTCAAGTGTTTGAAGGTAACACGTTTCAATGATGTGCATGTAGGTTGATAGTTTCAAGTGATGTGCTTTACGGTAGCAAATTTTAAGCAGTGAGATTTTAGATAGCATTCTTTTTTACTTTTATTGTCATTTCCAAACTAATGTTTTTGTTTATGCCTAGGTTGGGGTTAGGGGTTGACCACCGAAATTACGAAACATTAGTACCAGTAACTAATCTATGACTTGGTTATTTTTTAAAGCAATGTTGCATATCGACGTAAGTGCAATGAGTAAAAATTCTGCTAGATATTACTGTAATTCTGTAATTCCATAAAGGTCTTCAGGACTTGAAAGCAAAATTTGAATTCATTCTGAAAGTAAACATTTTTGAAAGGCTATCGAAGTATGCAATATGAACACTTTACAATTGTATAATTGACAATAAAGAAGTAATGCACTATTGTGGCAAACTAATTAAATTTTGACCTGTCACGGTTTAAAATAGGAACATTTGTAAGGCCTACAAATTTTATTGTCTTAAAATTTAAAATTTGTTAAAATGAATACAAAGGCTTAGAAGTAAATGGTCTCTTTTCATTCCTTGCAATCTATGGAGGTAGAGAATGTAAAGCTGATGTTTCTATGACCAAAAGTTATCGAGGGTTTCATACTGTCAGCATATGACCAACAACCCCACGTAAGTCAGGCAGGCTAACCCCAGTAGATATTAGAATGGAATCAGAGTCGTAAAAAAAAATCCAGAAGTTCGAGTCCTCTCGGCTCAGGAGCCAAGCTCTTTAACACTCGGCCCCAGTTAGGAAATAAAAAAAAAAAGTCGTATAGACTTGAAGTAGATAGATTTACTTTTGTACGAAAAATCTGACCCCCCCCCCCCCCCCCCCATTTATTTGTCTCATATCTACGTGCTGGATGTATCTTAAATGAGAAAACTAGTGAGAACAATGACGTATGGCAGGGAATGTTAATCCATGTCTAAACCACTTATATAAACTTATATATCTAGAGCTACTCCCAGCGTTAATTCTACAAGCTTTTATCTAAAAGTTCAAAAGTATTCATTGTGGTACTTACACAATTCTTTACTAGTTGATAATATCTATTATAGTATTTGATGGTTCTGTAAACATCTACTTCCGCGTCGACCGCAGCTTTCTTGCAGATGATTAAAAGCATGACGACAAGTTCTGCACTCAGATTGGTCTCACCCTGCACTAAAACCTGGCTAACATCAGAGTTTGCGTTCTGCCAGTCAACGACGTCTGCTAACAAGCGCGCAACCAAATCAGCTGTTAGTGACGCCTGGTCCTTGGGCGTGTTAATTTTGTGAAAAACTCGAATCCGATCAGCCCCAGCGATATTGCTATGGCCTGCTGGACCAATTTTCAAATCTGACATTGCGAATTGAGCACTTGCTATAGAAGTTGAAATTAAGATTGTGCGCCCTTGACCTAGATCCACAACTCTCTCACTATTGTAGAAAGAATTGTCCCCAAGTGAAATGACAGTTCTGATATTGTTGTCTAGTATAAACTGAAATACTTGATGGTCATTGTTCGATTTCGAATTGTCAATGACAACATAGTTTTGAGTTTTGATGTCCCCAAGTATAATTTGACAATGTCCTGTACGAGGATTATGTATCTGAACACTTTCAATGTCTGGAAAGAAAGGTTTGGCGTTTGGTTTGACTTTGTCCAAACTTAAGTTAAAATCTGATGTAGACTCTGACTCGTCTGATGTCTGGAAGATCAACATTGGGTCACTGTGTGGTTTAAAATAGAAACAAAATAAAACAATTTCAAACATTTTTGTTTCAGTTTTAATTTTTTTTTTACAAATCTGAAAAATCAATTCCAAAGTGGCAGACAATAGGTCTGGGTTTACTTATAGGTAACATTAGCTTGGCGGCCCCCAAAAATGTTTCTTTTCATTCTGAAGGAAAATTGCCTAATGTTGACTAAAAGGGGCCCCATATCTAAAAATAAAAATCGTAGGACCTTATCAAGTTTAAAATCCGGTTCTGGAATAAGGTGAAATGAATGTTTCGAATTGATCTTTTAAAGGCTAATCTAAATTATCTTTGTTTATAAAGTTAGCACTTTGTAGTGTTTGTTTCTAAAGGCCCAGAATAATTTTCCTGTTATTGTAGACCCCGGGTCAACCTTGCTCCAGTTTAGCAAAAAAAAAATTAATAATAATAATAATAATTTTGTTTAGAATTTTGGAATAAATAATTACAATTTAATGCACACTGCATTTGTTTTCGATTTAGTTACATTTTAGATCTACAGACTGGAACAAGTCTCATCACTGTAGGATGTTGCACATTAGGTACATGAAAAAAAAAGGATTGGTGTGTGTGTGTGGGGAGGGGGTGCGAAGTAAGGAAAGGGATGATGTTCAAGTTGCTGTTAGAGTCGACAGAAGATTGTAAATCTTCTATCTACCTACCTATCTATCTTTTTATCTATCTATCTATCTATCCATCCATCTATCTATCTGTTTGTACCACAAGCTACACGTTGGATTCAGCACACAGAGAGTTCATTGAAAACACTAAATGACTAAAACGCTGAATGCTGTACGTTGAACAAAGAAAGGTTGTATTTCATACTATTGATGAGTTCTGGTCTGTTAAGACGTTGACTTACCCGTGTTTGTTTAGACCCTGTGTGTACTTGATTCCTTCCATACTAAGACCAATTGTTCTCTTCCTTCGAGTGAATCTTCGCATCAGAGTGTACTGCTCTTGCAAATAACACTGACTAGTGGCGAACATTGGTGAACGTTTCTCTTCTGTATCTGCTTTATCCACACTAGCAAGGAAGAACTGAAGCAATACGTCGTAGATGAACACATACTGAGAGAAAGTACGCACTATTCCGTTTCTATCTTTGCGGATTGCTCTGATGAAGTCAAACACCTGGACCCCGCCTTCTGCCTCGTACTGCTCTATTAGGGCATCGACTGCTAGGAACACTCCCGAGCGCCCAACTCCAGTGCCACAGTGCACCAGAATCGGGGTTGTGTCCTCTCTGTGGTGGCGCTTGACCGACTGCCTCATCTCTAAGAGTGGAAGTGGATCATCCGGCACACCACAGAGCGGCCAAGATGTGAACTGAAATATTTGAACTATCCTTGGATCTGTTTCATTTTGACTTCTGACCTGAACAACTATAACAGTATAGTGGGTGTACTCTGTTTTATGAGTTACACAAAGTTGGAACATGCCAATGTGGTCACTTTGTTGTCCATTTGGCCAGTACTGAAAGCACATAGTGACGCCATTCTCTTCTAGGTTGGTCATCATCACAACAGTTTTGATGCCCCTGAAGATGTTTGGACAAGATGCTTTTACTTTGAAATAAAGACAGAAAGGCAAATACATAAATAAAGAGCAAACAGCAAAGGGGATAGGATTGAAGTGCAAAGGAGAATGGACTAGAAGCAAAGGTGCAAAGGGAATTGGACTAGGAGTAAGGTGCAAAGGGGAAGATAGACTAGGAGTAAGGTGCAAAGGGGAAGATAGACTAGGAGTAAGGTGCAAAGGGGAAGATAGACTAGGAGTAAGGTGCAAAGGGGAAGATAGACCAGGAGTAAGGTGCAAAGGGGAAGATAGACCAGGAGTAAGGTGCAAAGGGGAAGATAGACCAGGGGTAAGGTGCAAAGGGGAAGATAGACCAGGAGTAAGGTGCAAAGGGGAAGATAGACCAGGAGTAAGGTGCAAAAGGGAATAGACTAGAAGCAAAGGTGCAAAGGGGAAGATAGACCAGGAGTAAGGTGCAAAAGGGAATAGACTAGAAGCAAAGATGCAAAGGGGAAGATAGACCAGGAGTAAGGTGCAAAAGGGAATAGACTAGAAGCAAAGGTGCAAAGGGAATGGACTAGGACCACTAGGAGCAATATACAAGGGAAGATAGACTAGGAGCATGCTTTCAAAAGGATTTCAAAAAAAAAAAAAAAAAAAGAAAAACAGGATATTATTAAAAATGTTAGAAGTAATAAAATGGATATGTCAATTAAATTATGTGACTTTATGTTAGGTAATTACAAAAACACAGTGGCGTAGCTAGAGTATATGATGCCTGGTGCGGTACCTCATCTTGATGCCCCCCCCCCCCAAAAAAAAACAACAACAACAACTAACTAACATTGCAAAACCTTACTTTTTTTTTCAAAATAATATGTATTCATTAATCAAGTATTGTTAATTCTTTCATGACCTTAATGACCTTTCATGACCGCAGCATTATCATAGCCTTGATCCCTGCAGTCCATTATGTCTAAGCCATCCAAACGCAATTTCTCTCGAATCATCTCAGCGATTCCAGCAGCATGCGTGTCCTTTGTGTCGATGAAGTCAACACTCACGAACTTGCACCCCGTCATTCTCCATGACAACATACCGTAAAATTTGGGAAATTTGATCCAGCTTTGAGATGTCAGGTGTACTGTCAAAAATAATAGAGAAATATTTGGCTTGTTTTACTTGCTGTATGATTTGTTTTTTAGCGTGATCCCCCAATATTGTAATAAATTCATTTTGTATTTGTGAAGACATGTATGTATTTGGTCTGGAACA